TGAATCATACGCAATAGAATTTCAAATCTATTTCGAGACATCACTTTGGGTGCAAACTCGTTTTTGAAAATGGGATCTCTGCTCCAATAATCTTTCAAAAATGGCATTTTTACTAATCCCATGTAAACAATTAATCCAAAGAACCGCTTCATTTCCGCAGAACTTGTAGGATCCCACTGATGAAGTCGTGAGGAGGCAGAGACGTTTGAACTATTTTCTATCTTCTGAGTAGCGTAGATATTGGTTTGATCAGCAATCATTTTGAAAATAGAATTATCAACAACTGCCATGTAAAAATCTCCAGGTTTGCCCTGTACTAATTCTCCAATTACTGCCGGGCTCACTCCAAAATATTCTCGAAAATTTCCAAACTGAATCTGTTGGCGGCGAGGTAAGTACCAGGAATCATTATTTCCACGTTGTACTTGCATATATTCTCTACTGAGATCGTCTTCTGAAGAATCTGAAGGGATGTTCCGGTTCTGTGCAAATTGATTGTTGTTACTGTTTATTTTTCTGAATGATGTACTGGGTACAGACAAATCTGAAGTACTGGCACTGGAGCTTTTGGAAGCCATTATCACACCAGACTTTTTACGTTTTTCTTGTGGGTGATCCCCTGACGATTGACTGCAAGACGATTCGCCTGAAAAGTTAAAAAATTTTATTAGCGAATTTACAGGACTTTATAATATTTATTTATACTGGCATATTGTTGGTATCTTACCTTCTGAACTGGGTACAAAATTTCTGTCTTCAACCGAGTCATCAGTATCTTCGTCAGACATATCAAACATTTGCATCATTTCTGATTCCGTAAGATTTTTATCATCACGAATAAACGCAAGTTTTCGTTTAGGCATATTGCAAAAATAAGCGAACTAAATTTCAATAAAATAAAAACTGTTTTACGTACGTACGAAACTAAAAATCGTGTAGTCTGCCTGGCAACTTATAACGTACTAAAACAAGTCACAATTATCGAAAACGTCGCGAACCCCACTCCTCTGACCACGCAAACAATATTCAAGCTCAAAAACACGGAGCTTTTAGGTGACCGAAGCCGTGACCGATCCGGCTCAGCACGATCAAGTTAACTGCGCTACGCCGCGTCGGTCATTTTGACCGAAAGCTCTAAATATTGGATACATTTAATTATCGATAGCGTATGATATTAAAATACAAATATTTTAGTTTAGTTCATCACTTAGCAATGAAAAAACATTTTGGCGCTGAGCGACCAAATCGCTCATAATACATTGGCAGGGAACGTGTTAAGTAAACGATCACAGTTAGTTACAGTAAACGGTCAGAAATCAACATCCATTCAAATCAAATATGGTGTACTACAAGGTTCAGTCCTAGGGCCCCTGCTTTTCTTACTCTATACTTCGGATTTCTACAAACACGTGAATAATTGTGCAGTCCAATTTTTTGCTGATGACACTCAGCTGTTTCTCGATTTTTTGTCGAATGAAGTCATTACTGCAGTTGATAAGAATAATCAAGATCTTAAAAAAATCGATAACTATTCGTCTGATCATAACCTTCACATTAATGCTTCGAAATCCAAACTATTATTATTCTGTAGTAAAAATACTGGACAATATATAAAGAACAATACAACTCTGATGATATCTGGTGAATCTATTCCACATGAAACTGAGTCTATAAATTTAGGGTTATACTTTGACGATCAAATGAGGTTCAGTCAACATGTCAACTATGTGTTATAAAAGTGTTATAGTAGTCTTCGCTTGCTTTATTCTAATAAACACATCCTACAGAACCAATCTATAAAACTAAAACTTTGCCAAAGCCTTGTAATTTCAAAAATATTATATGGAATTGTTGTGTATTATCCTTGTTTAACAGTTGCTGATCGTAACCGTTTGCAAATTATGCAGAATACATGCTGCAGATTCGCAATAGAAAATTCGATCATATTTCCCAAGCCTTCTCCCAAACTGGCTAGCTAACTGTTAATAATTTATATAGATTTATGTTCCTTTCTTTTCTTTTTAAAATACTTTCTATTCACCATTATATCTTATGAGCAAATTAACTTTTAGATCGTCTACGCACAATGTAAACATAAGAAACAATTTTAATTTATCAATGCCTCGTCAATCTAGTGCTATTTATAATCGTAGTTTTTCGTATACCGCGGTTGTTCTGTACAATACTTTACACACCGATATTAAAAAAATCACGATTCCTACCTGTTTTTAAAAATGCTTTAAAAAGGCAACTCTTTATTAGTCAAATGTAAACTGGTAGATATAATGAGCTACAAATGTCAAATTGTATAGATAAACTTTTAATATTATAGATATTTATATGTATATGTTTTGTTAGGGTTAGGTGTAAAAATAGCCACAGGCTAAACCTCGCCCATGCTAATTGTACAAAAATGTTATTATTTTGTGAAAATAAAGACCCGTTATTATTATTACTTGCCTCCTCTGGTTTTCTTCTGTTCATCAATCTTGCTGCTGAAATCTGGAATAGACAATATTTTGCTGAATAAAATTGATTTTTAGTAGGTGTTTTGGTTGGAGTGATGTGGAGAATCTCCTCAACATTATACTTTAAAGTTCTTGGAATGGCATGATCTACCACTAATTTTGATCTAGAAGAAAGGCCACCATCCAAACTACTTGCTGTCGAGATGCTCAGTATTAAATATTCTTTAGGTATATCTTCCATAGAACAATTACCATTATTTTCATTTGTATTTTCCTGTAAACTCTCAGTAACAAAATCATAATCTCGGAAAATATTTCGATTTACTGGGAACATTCCGGTCTTTCTAAACCCATTAACCGCCGTTTCCACAGTGGCTGCTCTATTATATGCCATGTCAAATAGCTCCGCAACTTTTTAAACTGTCACCTCACGACCAGGATGTTGCTGGGATGTTCCTGGGAATAGTATGTTTTAAACGGTGACATAAATGCAACATTCAACAGCTGCATCTTATAGGTAGAATGGGGTGGCAGGCAAATTATTACAACAAGATGGTCTCTTGCAACATTGACTACCTCCAAATTCTTAGTATGCGAATAATTGCCGTCCAAAATAAGGACAACATATCCTGTAGAATCCAACCCGACTGATGACATGCATAGATTGAACCTGGAGGGGCACCATTCATAAGTTCAATTTTCATGTTCTTCCTGTGAACTATTAGCAATGTTGGCACGTACTGTCCTAAGGCATTAAAACAAAAAAACACAGTTATAGTAGATGCTCGTTCTGCCGATGTTATAGCTCCTATTTATTTTTTTTACTTCCGAGCTATCACTTTAATATGCTTATGTTGGACAACTGATATCCCAGATTCATCGCGGTTATATATTCTGGATGGATTATGTCAAATTTTATCAGTTTGTGGTTCATATAAATCAAAAAACTTGGAAACGTTGTAAGGAGTAAATAATTTTATTCTTGCGTATAAAACTCTTTGTGGGGTCCTTAAGGAGGGCTCTGGATGGCGCCAAAGAAAGCCTTTAAATAATTTAGAACCTGTACAATCTTTTACAGCGTTGAAACAATTTTTTATTTTATTTTCTCTGCACAAAGAAAATGCTATTATGCAGATATCTATTTTGGTTGTTCCAAATTATTTTTGTTCAATTTGCAGAGAGTGTGTGGAAAGTTGATCTTCCATTTCTGGCGAAAACACTGGTTTCTTACCCAGTTTGGTTTGGACTACAACTCCAGGAGGTCCGTTCATCTTAACAAACCTTTTCAACGTCGTTTGTGGTACTCCGTGTGTTTTAGCACTTTTTTTGTAACCCATTGTTTTACTTCTACAGGCTTTTATGGCAGCAATCATATTTTCAGCATCTCAGTTTTTCCTCTTAAGTTGGCTTCGCATCTATAAAAAAATACGCATATTTATACCAAATTAATGATCCTAATATGGGGAACCCCAGATTGGGAATATTTCGGATACCCCATAATAGGACGCGGTTGGCAAATGTAAACAATGATATTTTTTTTGTTTAAATGAAAACAAAAACAAGAACTTATATACACAAAATATACACGTTTAACATTCCTACTTTTAGCCTATTTATAACAAATATCTCAGACTTACAATATATTAAAAAAAATATCGTTTTAATAAGCACCAGTTAAAACGTATGTCAACACTTCAAGCGTATAATCGAAAAGAGAGAACAGCTAATTGGCGCCTGGCTTTAATATTAAATATAATTTGATACCAACTTGGAAAGTGTAATTTGGCTATTGAAAAATAGATGTCTCTGTTTCAGTTGCATAAATACATGCATAGGAATATACCCCATAATAGGCGACTTTGTCCCCCATATTTTTATAAATATATTGATTGCACCAGAAGATCGAAAAATCCAAAACATATATAGTGCTTAAATTATTATAAAAAAAAACTATTGACAGAACTTTTCATTTATATAAAATTCTACTAAGCTCAGGAAATTATTTTTATTCAAATAAACTTTTTGAGTCTGTCATCTAAAGCGTTAGCTGAACTTAACTTTTTTATATCCATCGGATTATATTTTTACACCAATATTGTAACGATTTATTATTATAAGTATTATAAGTGTTTATTTTATTTAATTTTATATCAGTAGAAATTTGTACATCTAGCACAACCACTGGTCATGTTTTATGTACACTTATAATTTTAGTAATTATGTATATGCCATTATTAGTAAAATGGCCTATGTGTCTGCAATATAATATTTACTGGGTCTAAGCAAATAATTTAAAATAGTTATTAAAAACCTTTATCTCTAAGAAATATATTTTTAATACCACCATGTCACAGTCTCAAACATCCACCAGCTACTTCAAAATTTCTTACCAATTTCACTAACAAATTATATCTGCAGAAATTCTAAAACAATCAACAATAATGTGTCTCGAAAACATTAAAAATCCTACCGAAAAGTTCAGACCGCGCCAGTTTTTCAAGCACAAGATATAATTATCGACGTTTAATCAAAATGGAGGAACAAAAATCGGCGGGTAAAATGAAGGAGATCTGCTATCTCTTCAACACCTTCACCGATCCCGCCCTGGAGAAGTTGTACCAGAGTTTCAGCGTGAAACAGAAGAGGATGGGACTCGAGTGTTTTTTGTTGACGGCCATTTTGTTCGACATCTACATGCTGGTGGTAAGTAAATCTAAATTAATTTTAAATTTATAACTCTAAATTATGTAATGTATACTCGTATTTTATGCCGATCTAAAAATAGATGCCGTATCTACAAAAAGTCGGATTTTAAAGTTTTCGCATCAGTAGGTTCGTGGCAAGCTAAATTTACTTCTTACCAAGTAGAAATATGTTGCCAAAATGTTTCCACAATGTTTCCAAAATATTAAAAATCACATAATTAGCCGCATCTGCATACTTTTACCGACTAAGGAAATAACTTTAAACCTCATTTTCACCGCTTGACGCTCTCAGTAGATATTTTTAGGACGGCAGTATTTTAATAGCGTAGTTTTGTTGGCATTGCTTTTAAAATATTATGCTGTTATCAAGAAGCTTATTGGTAGCATCAGAATGCTCTAAAAGTGTTGCAATATCAAGAGAAGGTAGATCATTTATGTTTTTTAAAACAGTGTCGGGTCTAGACCTGATCCCTGAAGAACACACGCTTAATATCAAAAAAATTAGACAGAAGTAAGCTAGAAATAATATAAAACATCAACGATGTATTTTATTACATTTCTTTATAGAAAAATCTATAGGTTAAAACATTTAATAATGCCAGATACTAAAACTTTACTGCTATAAAACTACCAGAAATATAAATGGCTGATTTTTATTTAATTATTTCCGTATGATAGGGCCCAGTCACGAAACTTGCTGTCAAGGTTTTAACAAACGTTTTGATATATGTCTTTCATTTTCCACCACGAAAACGTTTATTATTTCTTTATTTATGAATAGGAAATTGGAGTGAGTAGTCATCTTTATTGATAATGGTAGCTTTATTGATTGATGATGATGATTATTGTAACGTTAGTTATAAGATATATGTGTTTACGTAAGAGAAGATAAATGATGTGACATCTATTGTCTTAAGAATTGGAGCAGTAGAAGTACATTTGTAATTAAAAATAAAAAAACAGAAAAATTATTTGCAATCTTCGTAAAGTATTCAAAATAATAGGCTAATTAGAATTTCTGTCATAACCGTTAGAAGAAGCTATAGCTTTAATTAAATTCTTTGAGCTGTTGTTAATGAGATCACATTGATGAACTGGAAAATGTAAACAATACATTGCGAAATATCTATTATACAGTGTGTCCCAATGAAAAGTAGTCCATATCCAGAGCTTATAACTTTTAAACAAATCGTAGATACGTGCGGGTTTTGCTAATATGTGTTATTTTGCTATAAGTTTTGCTTCAGTGACACAGAAATTATGTATTACCTATACAGGGTGTTTTTTAAAACTCTCATTTAAATTCACCATAACCAAATTTTATCAAATGGAAACGGGCTACTTTTCATTGGGACACTCTGTATATAGGGTTTTAGAAAATTAAACTGTTGTCTTTTGTAAATGTGGTTTTAGATCGAGAGTATTATAATAACAAAAAAGAAAAGATATAGTAGATGAGTAGCTACGAGGTATGCGCCCAGCGTGGTGCTTTCAAAATAACCAGTTGTCAAATTGTCTCTCTTGTTGATCATTATTATTATCTATGATTTTGAGATAAAATTTATAGAACATTAACTGTCAAACTAATGTATTAAATACAGTGGCGGCCCTGATAATTTAAAATGGGTGTTCATTTGTTCTAATAATTTTATCTTTTATAAGTTCGGTTCAAAACTTTGTACAAGTGTAGTTATTTTTGTCATTAATATCATACTGTTTTCAAGCACTATAACTATTACTAAATGAATAAATGAATATTTTAGTTATTGTAATATTTGTTTTGTTTTTAATAGGTTAAAAACCATCTCTAAACAATATAATTTAGTCAACTGACTTTCCTTCATATTATGAGATTATTTTAAAATATACACCGTGTCCCACGTAAGGCGGGCATTACAACTTTATGAAGAATAAATTAATTTGTATTTTCGCCATTTTCTGAGTATACATAATCGAATATGCTCTTTTGAATTAAAATAAAATGAACTCTGTGCAACTTCCGGTTATACCGGAAGTGACCACTAACTTCGTTATTTTAAAGGGAAATACCCCATATATTTTTTTTAATTTTAGATTCAGCATGAAATTCTGTAAACAACGATACCCCATTTGCCTATTCTAGTTATAGCGGATTTGGCGTTATTCAATTTTTTTCTACATTTTTAGTCGCCGGTAGACATTTTCTTAAAGTCGTCTATCTCAGGTACTATATCTACCAGATACTTAAAATTTTAACCAGAGATAGTAGATGGGATGTACTTCTTGATAATATTTAGTTATTCATTATTTGTTGTACGGGGTGTTTGCAAATTATTTTTAAAAATGAAATTTTTTAAACATAAAAAACTTTTTTATTTTAAAGGGAACACCCTATATATTTTTTAAATTTAGGATTCAGCATGAAATTCTGTAAACAATGATACCATATTTGCCTATTCTAATTATAGCGGATTTGGCGTTATTAATTTTTTTTAATTTTTAGTCGTCGCGCCGGTAGGAATTTTCTTAAAGTCGACTGTCTCAGGTACTATTTCTGTTGGATACTTGAAATTTTAGCCAGAAGTAGTAGATGGGATGTACTTTTAAAAACATTTACAGTTTTCTGCAACAAAATATGTCGTTTAAAAAGTTTAAATTTTTTTAATGATAAGGTACATACTAACTAAAAACAATTTTTATTAAAAGCACATGGTTTAAAAAAATCATTTTATCAAATGTTAAAAATGCCCCCCGTTAGCTTCTAAACATTTTAACAATCTTTTTTCAACATGATTAGTTGTTGTTTTACGAATCATTTCACCATCTAACTCGTTAAAGGCATTCCGAACTCTTTGCTCTAATTCTTCTTTAGTATTAATTTGGGTAGAGTACACAAAATTTTTAATATGACCCCATAAAAAAAATCAACAGGAGTTAGATCTGGCGATCTTGCAGGCCAAAGCCAAGGACCATTTGGACCTATCCATCGGTCTTCAAAGAGTGCTGTAATTTCTCGATTTACATAGTATGTTGAATGTGCTGGGGCACCATCCAACTGGTACCAAAAATTATTATTTGGTAGCTGGTTTAAAATGTCGGCAACTACTTCTCTAAGAATTCTATTGTATCTTTCTGAGGTCAGTCTTTCATGATAAATGTAATAAAAAGCTCTTCCAAAACCGATCACTGCAAACACATTAAAACTAAATTCGTACTGAAATTGTGCTTCACGATAAAAATGTGGATTTTCGTTTGCACAGAAATGACATTGCTTGCGATTGATGATCCCTTTACGTGTAAATTTCGACTCGTCTGACCACAAAATTTTGTTTAAAATCTCGGGATCTTCTTGAATTCGTACCAATAACCATTCGCATAATTCAGTTTGTCTTATTTGATCACCATCTCGCAACTCATGAACTTTTCTTTGTGCATAGGGATGCCATTTATTTAGTGCTAAAATTCGTTGTATTGACCCTCGACTAATATTTAAATTATCTTGAGCCATTCTAATGGAGGCGTGAGGATACGCAGTAAAATACCCTAATACGTTAATTAGATTAACTTCTTCATCTCGGACATAATGTTGACGGTTTCTTCCCGGGTTTTGTTTAAAATTATTCAAAAAGTTAGCTTCGATTCTATCAAATTTCTATCTGTTCATTGGTTGTAAATGAGGGTATCGTTCATTAAACATGCGGCAGGTTCTACTTTTGATTCGATTACATTCTCCATGAATGTAAAATAAATTAAGAATATCTTGGTTGGTATATTCTTCAATATTTTCCATATTTTCCATATTTTGAACGCAAAAAATACACAACTTAAATACATAGAAATATGACAATTCAGTTTGTTGACAGATTGTTGTTTAGCATATTTCCACGGCATACTAAGATAAAAAATTAAAATGTAAAACTATACTATATTATGTAGGTGCATGCGTAAAATTTAAATTTAAATTTTCTTAAAATTGGCGAGAGATAATTATAGGGAATTAATAGTGCAAATGAAGATCAATGAAGAATAATTTTCTGAACAAAATGAAATAAAAATATACAGGATTTTCCATTCAAAATAAAATTTTTTTTCATGTTTAAAATATTTATTTTTTAAAATAATTTCCAAACACACAGTCGAACAAACGATGTACAAGTAAATTTAAAAAGCAAATGCCTGCCGGCATATAAAAGTTTATAAAAAACTGAATAATACACTATAATTAGAATAGGCGAATGGGGTATCATTGTTTACAGAATTTTATGCTGAATCTAAAATTTAAAAAATATATAGGGTGTTCAATTTAAAATAAAAAAGTTTTTTATGTTTAAAAAATTTCATTTTTAAAAATAATTGCAAACACCCCGTACAACAAATAATGAATAACTAAATATTCTCAAGAAGTACATCCCATCTACTACCTCTGGTTAAAATTTTAAGTATCTGATAGATATAGTACCTGAGATAGACGACTTTAAGAAAATGTCTACCGGCGACTAAAAATGTAGAAAAAAATTGAATAACGCCAAATCCGCTATAACTAGAATAGGCAAATGGGGTATCGTTGTTTACAGAATTTCATGCTGAATCTAAAATTAAAAAAAAATATGGGGTATTCCATTTAAAATAACGAAGTTAGTGGTCACTTCCGGTATAACCGGAAGTTGCACAGAGTTCATTTTATTTCAATTCAAAAGAGCATATTCGATTATCTATACTCAGAAAATGGCGAAAATACAAATTAATTTATTCTCCATAAAGTTGTAATGCCCGCCTTACGTGGGACACGGTGTATATCGGGATATGTAGAAAGCTTGATTGATTTTTGTATATAAAATATTGTTATATGAAATTTTACTTGCCGTTTTTCAGTTTTTATTGTAAATTTAATAATTTTTACAATTTGTCACACATGTCAAATAAAACAATAGATTTTTTAAATACTTTTTATTGGCAAAAAAAAACAAGTAAACTAAAATATGTATTTAATAAGATGAGTCCCATAACAATACATAATAT